CGACAATCACCTCACAGATGAAGAAGAGAGTTCAAGCAACAGAAACAAAGAAAAGAGTACTGAACTGTTACGTAATATCAGTCCTTCTATATGGCAGTGAATGCTCGACAATCTCCTCGCAGATGAAGAAGAGACTTGAAGCAACAGAAACAAAGAAAAGAGTACTGAACTGTTACGTAATATCAGTCCTTCTATATGGCAGTGAATGCTCGACAATCTCCTAACAGATGAAGAAGAGACTTGAAGCAACAGAAACAAAGAAAAGAGTAATGAATTGTTACGTAATATCATTCCTCCTATATGGCAGTGAATGCTGGACAATCTCCTCACAGATGAAGAGACCTGAAGCAACAGAAACAAAGAAAAGAGTAATGAATTGTTACGTAATATCATTCCTCCTATATGGCAGTGAATGCTGGACAATCTCCTCACAGATGAAGAGACCTGAAGCAACAGAAATGTGGTTCTACAGAAGGATGCTGAGGAGACCATGGAGTGATTATGTGAACAATGAAGAAGTTTTAGAGAAAACGGTAACAAGAACGAAACTCATACTTAACATCAGAAAGAGACAATTGAAATTTCTAGGGCACATAATGAGGAAAGAGGGCTTGGAAAATCTGATATTCACAGGACCGACTGAAGGCAAGAGAGACTGAGGAAAGCAACGTGTAACATACTTAGTGAGCAAATGGGTGGTGGATCAAGTTTTATGATAAATTTATTAAAAAACGACAAAATTTATTAAAAAAACTATGAAGGACAGAAAATTGTGGAGAGCCATGACCGCCTAAGTCCTGTGGGGACACGGCACATAAAATGAGGGCGTGATTAAGAATTTGCCCACTAAAATTTGTTTTCATCATTTTCTCACGGGTGATGAGTGGGGGAAGAAAATGATTTCTGTTAGGAGCGGACCTCCAAGCCTTCACCGATGGATACGGGCCTCTCTAGGACGAAGGATGAATGTAGGACTTGTGTTTTATTCCGATATTCATGCTGCTTAATTTACTGGTCGAAGAGTACATCGATCTAGAACACTGCGATAAAATGCAACAATGTGATTTTTAAAAATATAGCCAAGCAACATGTCATCTTTACTCAAACTATCCATTATATTTGCATTGTTGGGACGGTTGTCCTCATCTTTATTGTCACATTCACGATGTTTCGGCCGTTGTAATCTCCGGCCTTCTTCAAGTGATGTTTGTTAGAATTTCGAATCGAATCCAGAAAAGTCAATCTGTATGTTATTGGAGTTTCTGAAGAAATATATATATATATATATATATATATATATATATATATATATGTGTGTGTGTGTGTGTGTGTGTGTGTGTGTGTGTGTGTGTGTGAAATATATATATATATATATATATATATATATATATATATATATATATATATATATATGAATGTTGGTATATATATATGAATGGTGGTACTCGGATAGCTCAATTTGCAGTCGAACAAATCGGTATCCGAGAAAAAATGGGGAATAAATAAAGAAAGAACCAAGAACATTAAACCAAGGCGAAAACAATCGCCCGGTGTTCGAGTTCCAAGTTCAAAGACAAAACCCAAAACGAGTAAAAAGACAACTTCGTAAAGTGTTCAATACACTAAGTAGAGCAAACCTACCTAGGTTTCACCTAAACGGATCTTCAGGAAAATGCCGGATGAAGAACCGTTTAGGTGAAACTTAACATGGTTTGTATGGTCCTTAGAAATATATATATATATATATATATATATATATATATATATATATATATCTCACTTGATAAGACACCAGAGAGGTGTTGAAACAAAATGGCTATTTTTCTAGTGATTTTATAACATATTTATGTTATAATTTTCGAATAAATAATTATATTTGCTCTACTCTGTATTGAGCACTCTTTTTAAGAATAGCAATTTTTAAGTTATTGGAATTTATTCCGTATCCACCAATCCAATACTTGATATATATATATATATATATATATATATATATATATATATATATATATATATATATATATATATATATATATAGATACAAATTATTTCCTAAAGGCATTATGAAAATAAAAAAATAAGAGATGATAACACTTACAGAACAGACCAACCGGTTTCGTTCCCAAGCTCATCAGCCTCGACTGGGAACAATTTAACAATTATTGCAATATATATTGACTCACACAAACATCCTACATACAATTAAAACATTAAAAAATGAAATGATTAATGGTATGAGGGAAAAAAAAAATATATATATATATATATATTTCAAACCGTGCGAATATGCACAGCAGAAAGGGGGGAAAAATTATAACGGGGAATGTGAGGGGAATGTATGATAGACACTAGAGCGTAATAACTTGAAGCCCATGGAGACAGTCTCTTTGCTTGCAAAGAGACGGCTCCCTGGACCGAATATACAAAGACTCAAGTGCCCTCAAATGAAATGGAGAGTGCGAACTGGACAGTACGGTAAACCATTTCGGACTGAAGTTCTTCGCACAATCCCTGCAATTTATTAAATGTTAGAATGTTCGCTTTCTGATTCCATGAGACCCGTGTTCGAATGTCACCATGGCCGAGTTGTCTGGAAGGAGACTTACGTTATCGGACTGGATCAAGGTCGACCCGAGCGCGCGGCACCTTCGGAAATTGCCAGAAAACCCAGAACATAGGTTGATCCAAGCCTCGTGAATGAGATTGGGTAGACGGAAATGATTTGGGACTTTGTACTAGCAGAGCACAAAGTCCCAAATCATTGTGACCGAGAGTTTTGAGCGTGCTGGCCTTGTTCTGATTGTTTATCACGCTAGATAACACACTCTCTCCCAGTAACGGTAACTAAGGTCTGCTCATCATAGTTACAGTGCAAACCACAGTTGGGCTCTGTGGGTGCTGAGCAAAAACGAATGTGCCTGAGCTAGCGTCTGCAGTAGGGATTGACTAGCCGCCCTAGTAGACACCCCTGTCCCTTGTTATTTCTTCAAACCCTGTTCTAACAACCATTTACTCAAGCCCAACGATTATATTACCGGGTTTTTCGAATACGAAATATATAGCTATTATATATATATATATATATATATATATTATAAAAGTGAACATAGAAGTCAACACTAAGAGGTGACAGTCTGTTTCATGCTAGATGCAATCGTCCATTCATCCAGGACGATTGCATCTACTATGAAACAGACTGTCGCCTCTAAGTGTTGACTTTATGTTCACTTTTATATTTACAATAAAACCTATCTCTGATATTCAGCATTTTATCCCATAGATATAGCACATCTTAAGACTATATTTCTTATATATATATATATATATATATATATATATATATATATATATTATAAATTTGCTAATTTAAAAATCGCTAAACAGGAATTACGATGTTTTCAAAAAGAGAAACTTAAATTTTAAATTTAATTATAGAATTAAATTAAAACCCTTAGTAATGTTTCATTTTCAAGCGATTTTTGGAATAATTTATTTTGAAATTTGCTGAGTTTATAAGCATATACATTTTTGATATTAGCTGCTAAGGTTTCGGGGAAATTCAATCATTTTGACAGGGGGGTGTTAGGGTATTTATTTTCACTGACAAACCTGTGTATCAAAATATGAGTTACTTTCCAAATGAGGTTAAGTGAAGTTAGGGCAGGGGTGCCTGTTCAACAAATGACGACATTCGTTTTTTCGCACGTCGTTTGCCGTTAAATTGTATACGCAAAGATTTTTTTCCCAAAAGAATCGTTTGAATATGAGTACGTCGTTTTAAATTATTATTCCCAATTCTAATTACTAATAGACTATGCTTTTTTTAAAAATAAATAAATATATTAGAATTATTTTCTTATTTAAAAATCATTATTCAAAGATCAAGTATAAATATGTATGTTTCATTTTTCATTTTTCTTCTATCTCGTATATAATGCGTTAAAATTCTCTATCTCGTATATAATGCGATAAAATTAATTGTGATGACGGCATAAGGGTGAGAATCTCCGACTGATATCAGATCGGTCGGGTTTCGATCACGCCTTAAAGCAATTGCATGTCTGGATATTCTGGTGAACTGCGAAATAGTCTGTCTGTAGATGACTGTATTTTTTAAAAAAATTTTTTTTTTAAGTATTTCACCCCAAGCAAGGCGTGAAGCCACTAGGACGCAAGGGGTTACAGAAAATTTAGAGCAAGATCACATAGGAGTGATAGAAGAAAGGATGAGGGTAGTGGATAGATCAAGGCAACTGGAGATGTCGATTGACATTACACTTGAATAGCTGGAGATTATAGCTCACAGGGAAACAGGAGAAGGGAAGGGAGTTCCACAGGCGAGAGGTGCGAGACATGAAGCTATTGGAGTAGAAGAGACGGCTACATTTAAGAGTATTGATGCAAATAAAATTATCTTATAAGAGATTGATTTTTTTTTAATCTTTAGACTAAATTTGATTAAATTAAATTTCTGCACTACTTATTGATGTTCGGTTAATTTTTTTTAAACAACGTGTGTGTGTGTGTGTGTGTGTGTGTGTGTGTGTGTGTGTGTGTGTGTGTGTGTGTAAAATAAGGTAAATACATTGGTAACAATATTTTTATAGAAATTCCTTAAAAAACGATATCTCCAAGTTTTTTTTTTTTTTTTTTTTTTTTTTTAGTTGAGTTATCAAGGGAATTAACTAAAACAGAGGCATGACACGCGGAATTAGAACAATCTAAATGAAGGGTTCGGTTCGAAATTAGAAACAAATAACACATGAAGAAGACCGGATATTTCAGCCATTTGCCACATCTAATGTGTGCCTAGAAAATTATCTTAGTGCATGTTCCTCTCAACAAATTTCAGAACGACTAGCGGCGTGTTGTCTTTCAGAACAACTGGCTACAGGTTATCTTTCAGACCGACGGGCTACAGGTTGTCTTTGAGGCTGACTGGCTACAGGTTGTATTTAAGACCAATTTAACACAGATAGTCTTTCAGACCGATTACCGGCATGTTGTCTTTCAGACCGACTGGATACAGGTTGTCTTTCGAACCGACTAGCGGTGTGTTGTCATTCAAACCGACTGGCTACAGGTTGTCTTTCAGACGGATTGACCACAGGTTGTCTTTCAGAACAACTAGCGGCGTATTGTCTTTCAGACCGACTGGCTACAGGTTGCCTTTCAGACCGTCTGGCTACAGGATGTCTTTCAGACCGACTCGCTACAGGTTGTCTTTCAAACCGACTGGCTGCATGTTGCTTTTCAGACCGACTTGCTGCCTGTCGTTTTTAAGACCGATTGACCATAGGTTGTCTTTCAGACCGAGTAGCGACGTGTTGTCTTTCCGACCGACTGGCTACAGGTTGTCTTTCAGACCGATTGACCTCAGGTTGTCTTTCAGACCGACTAGTGGCGTGTTGTCTTTCAAACTAACTGGCTACAGGTTGTCTTTCAGATGGACTGGCGACAGGTTGCTGTTCCAAACGACATGATGCATGTTGTCTTTAAGACCGATTGACCACAGGTTGCTTTTCAGACCGACTGCCGATTTATTTTCTTTCAGACCGACTGGCAACAGGTTGTCTTTCAGTCCGACTGGCCACAGGTTGTCTTTCAGACTGACTGGCAACAAGTTGTCTTTCAGACCGACTAGCGGCCTGTTGTCTTTCAGGCCGACTGGCTACAGGTTGTCTTTCAGACCGACTTAGAGGTGTGTTGTCTTCACTAGGCGCTCTACGCGTTCGACCTTGTGCACACTTAAGCTACGCTTAGAAAACCATTTGGGCACTTCGACGTGGTATTATGTTTAGCAAAATTGCTTCGGTAGATCAGTTTACGACTGAATAGTGTGTTCTATCGTGACTGGGTGCTCCACACTTTCGGCCTTGTGTCACATCTAAGCTTAGCCTAGAAAAATATCTTAGTGCATGTTCCTCTCGACAAATTTCAAGTTTGTCAACATCGACTGTCAATGGATTGACTATTAAATTCATGCAGTCAGGACACCAGTGAAAATAGCTCGTCAGAGCAGGTGCCATGAAAATATTTGTAGAAAAGACAGAGGGAAGCTAAATCACGTCTGTGAGAAAGTGACTGGAGTCGAGCCATTGTATTTTTTTTATTATTTTTTTTCAATAGGAGTTGTTGTGGGCCTGTGTATGCGTTGAGAGATAAACATGTGTGTCTCCTGAAATGTCCACAACAAACATGGCGGACTCGGGATGTGAGTCCCCGTAAAGAAATGCAAGAATCAATATATATGTATACAAACAAATGATAATGTATGTATTAAAAAAAACAAAGATAAGCATAAACAATAGAATATTGTTACGTGTTACTGAACAATGAACATGAAAGAAAAAAACCTTTAAACTAGTGAAGTGTGTGTGTGTGTGTGTGTGCAGTTTGGTGTAGGAGAAAGTCCTAGGGAAAATGAATTGAAAGGTGCGTACGTGCGTGCGCGTGTGTGTTCCCCAATGGGAAAGCGTTTTCCTCATTCGAGCTACATCTTGTCGTCCCTGAGTGAAAAAGTTAAAAAAGAGAATAAAAGAGAATGTCACTTCCTATTTATAGGCTTAAGGAGCGTCCCCTAGCGGCGTTTCGAAAATTAGGAGGAAGTAATTCGACGGAGTAAATAGGTTCGTCTATCGTCCGGTTCAAACTCCTCTTTGGTCTCTTGAACAGGAGCAGAGGTTTATAAATTATTTCCTGTTTAGGGTTAAGTTTGCTATTCCGCTTAAAGGCTTCTCATTCTCTTACACTCGCGGTAGCTTCTTACATCTTTGTGACATTTTTATCTTGCCTTGGGGGGGGATTTACTAAAGAAAAGTGAGGTGTTTGAATGTATGTGAGAAGGGGAGGCTGTATCGTTATTGGTGTGTGGGATTTTGCGTTAGTGCATGTTCATTTCTTGTCTAATGGTTTAGCAAACTTCAGTCTCACTTGTTTTGCCGGTTGAGTCCAACTCTAAAGAGATGAAAATCAAATAGGGGAGACAGGTTGTCATTGCTTTCATCCCACTCCCTCTCTCCCTCTCTCTCTCTCTCTCTCACACACACACACACACTATTTATTGCACAAAGGTAAAAATATAGTATGGGGCACATGGCCTAAAATGGGATGGGGAGAACTGGTCTCCCTGTTTCTTAAAATTTTAATTAATAACCACAATCAGTAACCCAATTTTTGCTACAATAACCTGTTATACCATAATACCCTATTCTAAAATAATAAACTCTCCCACAGATAAAATAAAAAATAGTAGCAGTGGCCAAATTGAATTTTGGCGTCTCGCGGTCTTTGACTGCACACGCCTTCAAACTCTGCTGCGTAAGTTTTTATAACCAGACGATTAGTGCCGAAGGGCAAAATTTCGTCCGGGGAACCAAATTCAGGGCCTGAACCCGTTTAATCGGCTTCAAAAGGATATATTTTGGCCGAGCCTACAGGCACTTTTTTGGAACATAAAAAAAAAATTTGTGCCATATTCTTTTCCGTGGGTGAAAAGATAAATGAAAATGGCGTCCCATTTCTTTGACTGCACAATATCCTGTCGACCTCTCTGCGTAAGAAATGAAACCCGGACGAAGTTTGCCGAAGGGCAAGGTTTCGTCCGGGGAAATGAACAGGGCCTGAACACGTTTAATCGGCTTCAAAATTCTATTTTTTGGCCGAGCCTAAAAAAACAGGAAAACCCAATAAAAAAATTAAATTTTTGTGCCATATATTTTCATTTTGTGAGGAGATAAATAAAGAAGTGGCGTCTCGCATCTTTGACTGCGCACTTGACCTGTCGAACTCTCTGCGTTAATTAAGAGAACCAAACGAAGAATTTGCCGAAATACAGGTTTCGTAATTCTAGGGAAGGTCAGACAGGGCCTGAACCCGTCTAATCGGCTTCAAAGGCTATTTTTTAATCCGAAAAAAAACTCGGGATACCCCAAAAAAACCGGCCTTGTGCCATTTCATTCGTTTCCGTGGGTGAAATTTTTAAATATTCAGTGGCGTCTCGCGGTCTCTGACTGCGCCCGCCTTTTTGATGAACTCTCTATTTAACGCAGAGAGGAATCTTTTTTAAAATTTGCCGAAGGGCGAGGTTTTTTAAATGGGAATCTAAGACAGGGCCTGAACCCGTCTAGCCGGGTTCAAAGGCTATATTTTTGGCCGGGCCTACGTTTAAAAGAAACCCACATTAAACCCGGCCTTGTGCCATTTCAATCCTCGTGGGTGGATCGATAAATACTCAGTGGTGTTGAGTGAGTCAGTCGATGTCGGACATTGAAGTATCAACCATCACAACTAGATTGCTGCGTCATTAACTCTTATTTCAAGTTCCCAACGTTTTGTACGTCGAACCTAATTTAGGACCGACTTAGTGAAATACAAGCCTCCACTGTGAAAACTATTCTACAACATAACCCTTGTACCAAAACTCCACATTCTTACTTACTAGTTTTACTACAACCACCATAATACCTCAGAGACTATGAAGTCTTAACTAGACTCCATATGTAAGATTTTTTCAAAATAAGGTCATAAATAATAACTTTTAAAATTTATAAACCCCAATGAATATTTACAATGATTAGCACAATTTATTTACAAGAAACAAAACCAAACCGTACATAGAACCACTGAGACGCAAGGGAGTTCCCGGCAGTGAAAGATAATGAATAGATTGGTGAGGAGAAAGGACAATAAAAGAACTGGATTCCGGAAGACAGAAGATTAGGATTGATCTTGCATTTAAATTATTTTTTTTAGGATCGTACAGAATGATCCGAAAGTCTTCTCATCCTTGCGTAATATAATTTTAAGACCCTATACTGGCAGCGAACAGCATGCATGCGCATAGGGAACGTGTTCAGCGAATATACAAAAATAAAAAGGGGGCGTAAGGCAAGGACGTGTCTTCTCACCGGACCTGTTCAACCTATACAGCGAGGAGAATTTTGAGAAAATTTAAATCCCCTACCACTCATTTAGCATTGGCGGCCACAATTTTAACAGCGTAAGATATGCAGATGGCACAGCACAGATAGCAGACACGGAAATGAAATGACAAAATCTCCTACAGAAGGTAGCGAAGGAGAGTGAGAAGAAGGGACTAAGCATAAACTACAAGAAGACAGAATGCATGGACACCAATAAAAGGATGAGCCCGAAATGCGATTTGAAGGTCAGGAACACTAGAATCGAGCAGAGGCGGAAGTTTAAATATCTGGGAAGCGTCTTGACAGAAGATGGTAAGTGCGACACTGAGATCCGTAGACGTATTGGGATGGCCAAGGACACATTCCAAAAGCTGGGCAGAGTACTGCGAGACAGGAGGATTTCTTTGGTAACAAAGAAAAGAATACTGAACTGTTACGTGACATCTGTCCTTCTTTACGGCAGCGAATGTTGGACGATTTCCTCAAAGATGAAGAAGAGACTCGAGGCGACAGAGATGTGGTTCTACAGAAGGATGCTAAGGATATCATGGACCGAGCGTGTGAGCAACGATGAGATCTTAGAGAGGTTGCAAACAAGGAGGAGGCTTATACTTAACATCAGGAAGAGGCAGCTGAAGTTTCTGGGACACATAATGAGGAAGGAGGGCCTGGAGAATCTGATACTCACGGGTCAAATAGAGGGAAAGAGAGACAAGGAAAAACAACGCGTGACATACCTGGCGGGCTTAAGCAAGTGGATGACAGAACGTAGTCTGGGGGAGGAAGCAGAGGGAAGGAACTTGTTGAGAGCTGCAAGGGATAGAGGGAGGTGGAGAGCCATGATCGCCTACGTCCTGAAAGGACATGGGTCATAAAAAAAAAAATAAAAAAAATCAAATCTTTTCTTTTCTTTATTAAATTAATGCGGAACTTGAGTTCCTTCAAAAAATTGTCTCACTCAGAAGACCTAACCCTTTTATTTTTTTACCAAAAATCAATTCCAATTAATTTTAAAAATAACAAAAATCTAACGAAATTTATATTTTTTTTTTATCCAATTTTTATGACATCACTGGTCGCTAAATGGGGGATACAATTTTTCCTTAAGTAATAAACAAAAAATTTTTTAATTTCTTTTTTTTCATTAAAAATGATTCTTTAAAAAACCCTATAAAAATCAAAATCATGAATGGAAAAAAAAAAAAAAAAAAAGAACAAACTGAAAAATTTTTTAATTTGTATAAATTTTTTACATTATTTAAAAAAATTTTCAATTTCTTTTGGTTTTTTTTCATTTTATGTTTTAAAATTAATATTTTTTCGTTTAATGGTTTGGCAAACTTCAATCTATTTATTGATTATGATTTGAATTAAAATTATTAAAAAATTTGAAAAACTAAATTTTAAAAATGTCAATGAAAAAAAAAATTCCTCTCTTCTATTTTCTTTCTATGGATATCTCAATTATTTTTTATTCCCTTCCATTCTCCTTTTCTCAATCTCTCTTTTAAAACTATATCATCACAATTGTAACACAAAAATAAAAAAATTCTTAAAATATAAAAATTAAACCCTGTCTCCCATCTTTGTCCCCAATTTATAAAAAAAAAAAAAAAAAAAAAAAAATTAATTTACGCAAAAAATCATTAATGTATTTTATAAGGGAGCCACTTGATTTTATCAAAATGTTTTGCTTAAAATTTTAAAAAAAATGTTCATTAAAATGGCTGGCTAATTTTTATGGTTTAAAATTCATTTCATTTCTATTGAAACTTTATTTAAATTTTTATATGTCTTGCATTTATTTAACAAAATTTCAGGATTTTTGATGTCCTTTCAATATTTTTTTTTTTTTGTTGGCGATTCCCATCATAAAATATATCCTATTTTTAACATCAAATATGTCACATTGAATAAAAAAAATGTCTCTTTTTAAATCCTTGATAAATTTAAAAAATATAAAAAACCATCAGTAAAATCACAAATAATTTTTTTAACGAAAATATTTTTTTTTTTTCAATAAATATTATTTGTCTTTAATTTTTTAAAATTTTTTATTTTAATTTGTTTTCCCAAAATTTTCGCATTAAAATTAAAAACATATAAGTTAATAATCCATTCAGTAAAAAAAATTTATAAATTTTTTTCTATAAATTCATGGTTTGGTGAAGATTGGCGGGGAATCTTTATATATGGCGTTTTATAAATTCTAAAAAAAACTAAATTCAATTGTTTAAGTAAAAATTCCATTTTAAATTTTTACGCCCCTTTCTTTTTTTTAAAACACATCTTCAAAAAATAAATTTTTTTTTTATCATCAAAAATTTTTTTTTTCGAAATAGTTTAATTTTTTTAAATTCAATTATCACTGATTTTCTTTCTTCTCCTTTTTATTCTTCATAAAAATTTTTTTTTTTTTAATATTTAAATATCAATGATTTTAAAAATAAATAAAAAACTTTTTAAAAATTCAAATTTGAAATGGCCACATAAAAATTTTTCTATAATTAAGAATCTCTTCTTTCACTCATTAATAAAAAAAGAAAATAATAAAAAATATTTATAAAAATTAATAAAAATATATTAAAATTGCATTCCTAAATATATTTTCATATGCATATAATTTTATTTAAAATGAAAAATAAAAAAAATTGAATAATTAATTTTTTTTTTCTTTATTTTTTTTTTTTAAAAACTTTTCTCATTCATTTGTCTTTTTTTATTATCCTCTCAAATTACACTAAAATCTCAGACAATAACAAATATATATCGTATTTATTGTCTTCTTAAATTTATTTATATATAAATAAATTTGATAAAAAATATTATATTTTATTTTTTTTAAAAAATAAACTGAATAAAATCTTTTAATTTGTACATTTTTTACATATATTTCTTAATTTATCTTAAATTTTCATTTTTATCTTTTTTTTTTTTCTAAAAATCTATCTAATCTATTATCTATATTTTTTATATATATTATAATCATATTATTCATATCTTTTCTTTTTTCAATTGAATTTATTTTATTATATATTTTTTGTTTTTATTTATCAAATATTATCAAATTTTTATATTTATCAAAAATCTTAATTTTATCTTATAATATATTCAAATTTTTTTTTAAAATTTTTTTTTTTTTTTAAATTTTTTTTTTTATTTTATCTAAAAATAAATTTATATAATAATTTTTTTTTTTTAATTTAAATTTTTTTTCATTTTCTTTGTTTTTTTCTTAATCTATTTTAATATTAATTTCTTTTTTTTATTTATTTCAATTTAAAAATATTAAATAAATGATCATCTATATATATAATCTTTTTATTAAAATATACATTTATATCTATCATACATCTCAATAATCTATCTTTTAATTTAAAATCTTTTTTTTTCCTATTTCTTTTCATTTTTTCTTTTTTCTTTTTTTTCTTAAAACTTTTCTTTTATCATTTTTCATAAAATATATTTTCTTTTTCTATAATGTAAAATATATTTTTTTGTTTTCTATTTATCTATCTATCTATCTATCTATTTATATAATTATCTCTATTCATATTTGTTTCTGTTTTTCTTTTTTTTTTCTATCTATCTTGGTAAGTTTCTATCATATCAATATCTTTATTTTTTCATTTCTTTTTTATATCTATCTATCTATCTATCTATCTATAAATATTTTCATATAAAAATTCTTTTTTTCTTTTCTTTTTTTCTTTCTATCATTTTCTATTTATCTATTTAAAAAAATTCATTTTTTCAAATTTCTTCCATGAATCCTATCTAATTTTTTCATTTCTTTCTTTTTCTATTTATCTATCTATATATATTTCTTTTTATATATTTTAAAATTCTTTTTTCTATCTATCTATCTAATCTAAAAAAATTTATCTAAATTCTATTTATATATTTTTTTTCTTTTTTTATTTTTAATTATATATTATTTATAAATCTATTTCATATAATATTACTTTTTTTTTTTTTTGTTTTTTATATCTATCTCTTTCTATTTATTTTATTATATCTATCTATATATTTTATATATTCTTTTATTCATATTTTCATTGATTTACATCTATCTTTCTCTTTTATTTTATATTTTTATAATCTTTAATTTATCTATCTAATATTTTCTTGTTTTTTTTTTTTATAAAATCTCAAAATATTATCTATTTTTCTTCTATATATCTATCTTTCTATTAAATCAAAATTACAAAATTTATTAATTTATATCTTTTTAAACATTGTTCTCATTAAGGATTTTATTTTTTTTTTTTTTAAATATCTATCTATTTTATCTATATATATATATATATATATATATTATATATATATATATATATATATATATAAAATTCCATTTTATATATATCTTTTCTTTCTTTTATCTATCTATTTATCTATTATTTTTTTCATTTTATTTTCAATTTTTTTTTTTTTTTATCTATCTATCTATCTATCTAAGTATCTATCCAAATTCAATATCTTTTTCTTCATCTATCTATCTATCTATTTATCTATCTAAATATTCAAATCCCAAGTTTCCTTCATAATCCGCTATATGTATTCATTTCCATCATTATTTTTTAAATGTCATGTAAAATCTATTTAAAATCGAATAAATATATTTATTATTATTGAAATTTTAACTTTACGCCTATTGTTTCTATTTTCTTTTAAAAATAAATCCTATTGTATTCTTGGAAAAAAAGCCAATAATAAAGATTTTGAAATTATAAAGAATTTTCAAAAATTTTCTTTTTATTTAAAAAACAAAATGTCCGCATTCACAGGAATAAAATTGTCGTCTTTTATAAAACTATTTAATTTAAAAATAACTTTCATCTGAATTTCTCATTTCAAAAATTTATATTTACCAAAATGATCACAAAAAATATCTATTTAAATAAATGTAATTAAAAATAATTTTCAATAAAATCGCCATTGGCTTTCCTTTCAAAAGACTATTGTCCAGACGATTTCTAAAAAATATCATCCCTTCTGGCGGTTTCCTTGTTTTAAAAAAAATTTTGCTATAATTCTTCTTTTTCCGTTCATCTTTTCTTTTTTTGTTGATTCTTTTTCAATTTTTCTTTTCTTTCTAATAATAAGGCAATTGTCAATAATATCTTAGATTCTATGTCTATCTATAATCTATTGATCTATTTATCTAGTTTTTCATTAAATTATCTTTCTCTATTTATTTATTTCTAATTCTATCTATCTAAAATTATCTTATCTGCATCTATCTATCTATCTATCTATCTATCTATCTATCTATCTATCTATCTTGACTATTCATCTATCTATCTTTTATCTATCTATCTATCTATCTTTATCTATCTATCTATCTATCTATCTATCTATCTATCTCTCTAAGTCTATTCATATCTATTTCTTTATCTATCTCTTTATCCAAGTATCTATCTATCTATCTATCTATCTATCTATCTATCTATATCTTTCTCTTTTATCTATCTAAGTCTATATCCATATCTTTCTTCTATCTATCTATCTATCTATCTATCTATCTATCTATTATCTAAGTCTCTATTCATATCATTATCTATCTATCTATCTATCTATAAAATCATTATCTATCTATCTATCTAAAATTTATCCATATCTATCTATCTATCTATCTATCTATCATTTCTATCTATCTATTAAATTCATTTGTCCGCCTTTGTGTTGAGTCTGATGCCCTGTGGGAAGAAATGAATGGAGGCATAAATGAATTCGCCAAACACTAAAGATCAAAAAAAACATCTTCGTAATTATCATTAGACTCATCCAACTCTTTCCGAATCCTCTGCAGCGGTCGATTCTCGGACCAAGCCTCGTTCTTCTTTACTCGCCGTTTCTATGGAAAATGTTCAGATGGACTACATTCTTAAGTTCTACCAATTCCACCATGCTACGCACATTGCAGCGAACCACTTTCACTGCCTTCGTATTTCATTGATAACCGCTGCTTTGTGGAACCGACTCCCACGTGAATGCTTCTGATTATTGCTAGAAAGAACAGATTAAACAGAAAAAAATGAATAAAGAGACTTTAACCCGTTTATCTGAAGAGAAAGTTATTTTAATGAAGCCGTAAATAGTTTTCCCGCCTAAAATGGTAAACGTGTCTGACTGAACGTTGATACAAGGTCAGAGGTCATTTCAAATTTGAGGACAAAAGACAATAAAGACTAATATGCGTGTCTGCCGAAGAAGAACGGACCAGTATTCCAATAAATAATCTGATGGAGATGTTGACTTTCTGTACACAAACAACACACTTCGGAATGGGATCACACATATATCGACAGGATGAGGGCTTAGCAATGGGCTCGCCATTATCACCAGCAATGGCGAATATATACATGGAATACTTTGAGGAAATGGCATTAGAATCTATATCTCTAAAGTCAACTATATGGTTAAGGTACGTAGATGACACCTTCATACTCTGGCCACACCAGGAAGATGTTCAGGTTCTACTGGAGCATGTGAACTCAATAAGACCTTCGATACAGTTCACAATGGAGAAAGAGAGTAACAACACACTCCCATTCCTGGATGTTCTAATATCTCGAACAGAGCATGGGTTTAAGACATCAGTATACCGTAAACCGACATTCACCAGACGGTACCTCAATTTCAACTCCTACCATCCATACAGCGTAAAGAAAGGGATCGTCCGTTGCTTACAACACCGAGCAAAAGTCATAAGTGGCGATCCAGGGACGTTAGATAAAGAATTGGTCAGTATAAGTAGTACCCTACAACGTAACAACTACCCTGGGTACATGGCAGCAGCCCCCAAAAACTGGGATAGGCGGATACAAGAGGAGGAGGACAACATCACTCAGAAAACAGTCTGCCTGCCTTATGTGAAGGGGTTATCAGAGAAAATACAATGGATCTGCGGTCCATATAACATCAGGACAACCTTCAAAAGCTTGACGACACTTTGCAGATATCTCTCCTGAGTAAGACCCCCCATAGAGGAGAACATGACTAAAGACTGTGTGCACGCTATCCCGTGCAGCTGCGGAAAGGAATATAAAGGAGAGACAGGCCGCCCCCTCAAGGTAAGGCTTCAAGAACACCAGAAAGCTGTAACACGAGGGGAAGTGGAAAAAATCAGGCGTGGCTGACCACATATGGAGAGAGAAAGGAGATCACCGCCCTCTGTGGGATCATGTTGAGATCATAGACAAGGAACACCATTGGAAAATTCGTAAACTTAAGGAATCAGCACATATGCTAAGCCACAAAAATCTCCTGAGCAGACCAAGCATAGAAATAAATACAATATGGGAACCAGTAATAAGGAGTGTCAGAGAAAAAGCAATGATAACAACATAGCTACAATATGAGCTCTGGTAAAAAAAAAAACATGCAATGATAACAGCAAAAATTGCAATATGAGCACTGGTAAAAATGGTTGCTGAAGACATTAGGTTTATAATACCCAGAAATTTATACCCAGATGTCCTCAAGGACACATGGTACAGTGGATAAAGGCGTTGGTGAGATCCAGTGACAGGACCCAAAGAGTGTGAGTTCAATACCCAGTTAAGGCAGTGGAGAACTTTCAGAAATTAACAGGAGATAACTGATAACCATCCATCAAACATGGCGTGGAACCAGTCTACCCCAGACATCGAAATAAAGGGTTCCATTCCAACCACCTGAAGAAGGCTAGAGCGTACAACGGCCGAAACGTTGTGATAAATATGGCAATAGTCAATAGTCCGAATAATGTAAATAATATGTGTGTGTTTATGAGTGTGTATGTTTATGAGTGTGTATGTTTATGAGTGTGTGTATGTGTGTTTATGAGAGTGTATGTGCATGTCATATATGTGTGTTTATTAATGTGTGTGTATGTGTGTTCCTACAATCAGGTATAATCAAATACTGCCACTGTGTAATCTACTTGCTAGACTGCTGATAGTTTAGCAACACTCCTCACCAGAAAAAACAAAGCCTGGTAGGGGAACAGGTTTAGTTGCCGATACCCTGGCAGGTAGTTACATACACCCTTGTGAAAATTAATTGAAACAACCGCTTTTATTTCATTTCTTTCACTATACGGTCAGTTTTTGACCCATTGGAGTGACAGGGGCATAATCGATTTCTATTTTTCCTCAGGTTAGGTCCTTTGTAGTGGTGTACATTAATATGAATCTATTTTTTTTTGGTATGATTATTTCAATTTGTTTGGCTTTGAAAAAATTACATCATTCATTATTATCTGTCCATTTCAGAAAAATGATATTGTCTCGTCTGTCGATTAGTTGTCCTACAGCCATTGGCTGCAACGGATGTTACTGCAAGGAAACGTACGAAAACTGTAACGCTGAACAAACACACTGACAAGCCTTACCAGTGAGCAAATCAAAGTACTATAGACTGGCCCGGAAACTCTCCGGATATAAATCCAATCGATAATCTGTGGTCAATCTACGAGGATCGACTTCGTGGAATGGATGTACGAAGTACTAACATGTTCATTGGGTCATGTTTCATTGGAAAAATATGAAAAAAAAGTAATAATAGAGGAATTATTCCTTTTGTTTCAATTAATTTGCTCAAGGGTGTAATTCCAGTCGTACTCATGACCTCTGACCTTATCCAGAATCCAAAGTTCAGTCGTTCATGTCACTATTTTTGTTGGTTTTTTCTCTTTTTTTTACGAAAATATTTCGTTAAAAACGACGCCAGTTCCCATGCAATGACCGAAATTAC